TTGTTCAGAATTTTTATTGTATTTTAAATGTTGTAAGCCGCCCAGAGATCTTTGGGTAGTGTGGGCGGCATATAAATTAACTAAATAAATAAGAAAACCTTTCCTTCGGCTTCTTGTTCCAGAAGTCAAAACCAGTCTCCCGCACCCCCCAAGTCTGCATTCCTCCCCCCTTGGCAAAAAAATCATCCTTTTTCCTGGAAAAAAAGGAGGGGTCTCGATTTCGGCAAAGGCAACCCCAAGGTTACCTCCAAAAAGGCCAAAGAAACGAGGCAGGCCTTCCCACTAGGTGACACTCCTTCCCCCCCCAAAAAAAGAAAGGTCTCTGCTTTGCTAGTCCTTGAACCAAGAGGAAAGGAGTGGAGAAAATGATGGGAAAATCGCAATAATGCCAGTAAAGAGATGAGGGTGAGCTGCTGGAGAAGAAACTTGGATTTCTGGGGAGGGAAGGTTTTATTCTACTAAGATTTTTTTTTCTCTCCCACCCCCAAGCCTTTCTAGACTCTCCCCCCCTTAAAGGAGTTCTGCATCAATCTGTCCTTATGATTTTAGGATGTCTTCAGAGGCCTCCGTCTCCTCCCAGACAACAAAGTCACCTTTTAAAAAATCTCTGAATTAAAGGTTGAGCTTTGCGGAGATCCCCTGGAACCGCCAGAAAAGCAAACCAAGCAGATGCTGGATCAAATCAAGCCTGAACTCTCTCTCTCTCTCTGGAGGTCCCCCCAGATAATAATAATAATAATAATAATAATAATAATAATAATAATAATAATAATAATAATAATAATAATAATAATAATAATAATAATAATAATAATAATAATAATAATAATAATAATAATAATAATAATAATAATAATAATAATAATGATGTTGAAACCATGGCTGTCATCCTTTGGGCACATCCTGAGCAGGCAAGATTGCCCCTGGAAAAAAGACCCACCAGGCTGGGAAAAGTGGACGGCAGCATGGAAAGAGGAAGACCCAACGTGAGATGGAATGACCCATTCAAGGAAACCCCGGATATGTGTTGGCAAGAGCGGAGCCAGGCAGCTCCTGAGAGGGCATTTTGGAGAGTGCCTGTGCAGAGGGTCGCCATAAGTCGGGGTGGGGCCCACAACGTGATGGCACATTAGAGCAGCAACGCCAATCTCCAAAATAACCCCCCTTCCCCTGGCAAAGCCGAAAAAGGTAGGAAAGGGGGGAGTGTCTCCTGCACACATCCTAGG